GGAAACAAGCTTCCCTTAACGAGTATACAACACTAAGACACTCAAGAACAAGGCTCTCTTTTAGAGTAGATGTTGAGTAAACTATATACGCTCAAGAACAACTCAAACTTCACAAATTGGCTCTAGAAAGCTATGAAAAATGATGTTGTTTTAATGCAATAATGATATGAATATTGTGAATTGAATTGATGTGTAAAGCATACCCAAACACCCCTTTTTATAGTGCCAAAAAAGGCTCCAACGGACCAATACATTAAAGGGGTGATTGGCTTGATTTATGGGATTGAAAAGATTTGGGATCTGCAGGATATTGGCTTCCCATCGATGTTAGGGACTTACCCATCGCTGGTAAGCCAATTTTCCTTCAGTTTTGAAGCCAACGGTTACCTACCCATCGATGGGTACAAGCTTCCCATCGCTGGGTTGGAGGTTGACTTCCAAACAAGGAAAGAATCAACCTTAAATGACTTCCAACGGTCATGCCTTCCCATCGATGGTTTAGCCTTCCCATCGCTGGGTTCCCATCGATGGGTAAAGCTTCCCATCGCTGGGTAAGGGCATTCTGCCTTGTGATAATGTTAGACCAAGGCTTGAACAGCGATGGGTAGAGCTTCCCATCGCTGTTTGGCATGGTTCTGGAAGTTGGTTTGGCTAAGGGGCTACTTACCCATCGATGGGATGTTCTTCCCATCGCTGGGTGGGTGGTTAGCCAAAAACCTATGGTTTTTGCCTTAACCACGTCCTAGCCAAACGATGCAAAAACCGACCGAAAAATCCAAAGTTCTCCAAAATAAAAACCAAGTGTTTAAAACACTTATTTGATGTATTTGGCTAATAAATCAAGTGAGACACTTTAAAAATCACGTCATTTGAGTAAAAACCACGGCTAGCCAAGTTTACGCCGTTTTGCGTGGTTTTTGTCAAATGACTAAAAACGAGAGATGGTTTTCAAAGTGTTTTTGTTGGAGAACCGTTTAAACATGCCAAAGAGTGAAAGCAGATCATAAAATGCTGAAAACCACTTGGTTGGTTCGGATGCCAAAAACCAAACCCGACAACCGAAAGCCGAACGCTGGTTTCTAAAAGCTGAACACTGGATGGCTTGGTTTTTGGTTTGGGCGAACACCAAGTGTTTTTAATGACTTAAACAAGTTTGAAAAACATTTTTATGATGTAAGAAATGCAATGAGAAATTTAGCCTAAAGAGCCAAGGTGTAAAGATTGGGTCGGTCTTGATCACAATAAAGACCGACTCAATATTATGATTAAGGTCTTCGTTCTTGGTCTTCGTTTAGCTCTTGCTCTTATCTTCGTTCTTCGCCTTGTATATTCAATGTTCGACTTGATCATAGCGGTTTGGCATTATCAAAACCTGTTACAAGAACGAACACGGCTTTAGTACGAAAACGTGACAAGCCCGTGTTTCAACATAAATCTCATAGAGATAAATCCAACATGTTGACTTATTGTGTGATCTTGATTGGGAACCTGAATAAATACCCAAATTAAGAATAAATGGAGAATTAGTTATGATGTGAATTTTGAAATAAACTATTGAAATAAATCATGAGAATAAATTAAATGTGAGAACCTTTTTGAGTAAAGGTCAATAAAACCAATTTTGACTCTGTCAAAGTCAAACACTCAAAAATATGATTTCAAAAAAAGTAATACAAATAAATATAAAAATGATATCGTTGGATAGAGTTCGACTGTCTGATTGCAACGGTGCAAACGGAATTCAATTCGGAGAAAGTTGGACCAAAAAGTATACCCCGATTCGGACAAAAATTAGTCCCAATCAAGGAGCGGTGTGTGAATCTCGCAGAAGCCCACTTCCGCCGTTTGAAGATTGCTTGTTAATCCTTGACTCAGCATTCTAAGTCTTCTTCTCTATCACCTTCCTAGATAAGCAATACTTAACCATTCCATTTCTTCACCAAATCAGCTTATTCTTCTTCCTATTTTATTGCTCTAAGTGTGAGGAGTGTAGTGATGCTGTCAAATTGGTGTGAAGTCTCCGGAGCTAGTCACAAACCTCGCCGGAAGTTTCGCTGGAAAATTTCCAAAACCTTCGTTAAGATTTGAGATAAGCCCGTAGATATATCAAGTGACTAGAATGTTCATATAGATCCTTTCTACGTTCATAAACGGTTGTTTGGTTGAGTTTTGTGTTTGACATACTTGAAGAACTAAGAATTATAAACCATGAAATTATTGTTAAAACTATGAATTAATGATACCAAAATAATCTATGAAACATGGAGAACATTTCTATATAGTTTAATTGAAGTTCAGTGACTAAAAACGGTATTTGCAAAATTGGACCCGAAGGTAACCCAAAAATGCACAGGGTGGACTGATCCAAGTGTGTGGATCAATCCTCTGGGGTTTATTCCACACGCTGGATCGATCCTAAGTGCTAGATTGATCCCTCGACCTGATTGCTTCGAAAATACTTCCGAAAATGCTATTTTTGAGCTCTAAATTCCTATATTTAATACCAATTATTATGAACAATATAAATATGATTTTTCACCATGAAAATGATGTTTTTAACAAATAAAATTTTACGTGATGCATGGCGGTAAGTTAGGGTGTTAACACTTGAAACTAGGCCACTATTTGCTATCAGATGTTATGTTGATGGATGATTAAGATGAATGATTAGTATGGATAATTATGAATAATGAACCTACTGATTAAAATGATTACTTATGATTGAACCATGAGTAAAATGAATACATTGATAATAATGAAATGATTTGTATTGTTAAGGGTATCTAGAAGAACTCTAAGATATACCAATTTAGATAATTGATGTTAAAGCTATCTAGAAGACCTCTAGAATGGATTTGTGAAAATATGAATATTCGGTGAATTGGATAAAAACGTAATAACAGAATTCATGGACCAAACTCGAGGATCACCCGTTTGAAAATACTTCGACTCAATGATAATTAATCACTGTCTTGTTGTTGCCTTAAAACTAATTATAGTTTAAGCGTCTGAGAATAACTGTTTCCTTAAACTAATTATAGTTTAAGCGTCTGAGAACTGTTACCTTAAACTAATTATAGTTTAAGCACCAGAGAATTGTTTGTATTAAATTAATTATAGTTTAAGCGTCTGAGATTGAAATTATGATCTGGCCTTAGACTAAGAATAACTAAGAGCGTTGTTATGATCTGACCTTAGACTAAAAGTAACTAAGAGCATCTGAGTAATTAAACGAATGCTCCATGCATAAAAAAGGTGATGTAAACGTCACAACTACATCATTAATTAGCACTCCCAAGCCACAAAATTGCACCTCTTATTTTGAGAAACTAAGAGCCAGATACCTCATATTTTTAAAATATGCTACGAGATATCCTCTATTCTAAAAAATTAACTGTCAGATAACTCACATTTTTAAAATATACTCTAGAGTACCTCCAAATATATACTCCCTCCGTCCCAAATTATAATGCTTGTTTACTATTTACGAGTCAAACTTCATTCACTTTCTTTCTCTATTTTCGTTAGCAATTTGATAAAATAAAATATTATTTTCACTACTAGTTTTGTTGATCTTTTGATGTAGTTTTTTAATATGTAATTTTTATTTTTTAATTCTATACCATTTGTCATATAAAATGGTTTGAAAATAATTTCAGTCAAACATCGTAAACCAAAACAGGCGTTATAAAATGGGACGGAGGTAGTATTAACTTACTCATGAGGGACGTTCCGTTTTATTCGAAAGCTTCGATTAAACCGGATAGATCGTATCCTTAAAGTATAAGAACCAAGGTTATTTTTGGAATTTCAAAGCCCTATTTTTTAAAATTAATGGCGTAACTGACTTTGACGAAGAGTGAGACGAAATGTCCCTCACAAGTAAGTTAATGTATATTTGGAGGTATCCCGAAGTATATTTTAAAAATATAATATATCTGGTAGTTAATTTCTCAAAATAAAGGACATCTCAAGTATATTTTAAAAATGTGAGATACCCCGCAGTTAGTTTCTCAAAATAGGAGGTACTCAGGAGCAATTTTCTGCTCCTAAGCTTGCGATTTAGGAGGACATCGATTTTTTTTCAAAGACAAAAAAGGATGAGCTCCATCCCCGAAGGCTTCCTTAAAAGTCAATTGACTAGACGATTACAAAGAAAATGTAAATTATATTTTAACCGCAAATTGATGACAATACTTGTAGAGGCCTTATGTTTAGCATAATTATTGATATTTCTTATCTTTGCCAACCACGCAACGCCCACCAACAAAAAAAACTATGGAGGGTAAACTTTTTATACTAACCAGGCCACCGCATTGCAGTCCAGCCACAAGAAACCCCGACCTTAGGCTTGGACCTACAAATTAGTATCCACCGCTTGCTCCTATTCGTTTTGTCATACCCATATTAGGGTTGACATTTTTTTTAAACGTCAAGACTAGTGATATCTACAAAAACAGAGTCAAACTCTCAAACCCATAAATAGGTGGAAGTAAGTCATTTTTTGTTGGTAGATGACTCGAAATCAAGTACTCTTACAACTTACAAGGAAGAGAATCTTAAGTCATTTTCTTTCAAGGACAAAAGACTAGCAAGAAAAAGACCCAATCCTCTCAGACAAAGCCCGCCTACCAACTGTCTTTCTCTTTAGTGAAAAGGATAGGATGAGAGATTGGATAAGGAAAAGACCCAATCCTCTCAGACAAAGTTTTCTCTTTTCATCATCATGGGTAAGTGTTGCTTATAACAGCAGTGGCTCCCCCTTCACTTGTCATGTCATTTTTTAGCAAATTACATTAGAAATTAACTTCATTAAATCAAATAATACTCCTTTTGGGGACAAAACTCTAGGAAAGGAGCTTTTTTTAGACAGATGAAGTAAGCTAAAAACCCCATGAAGTATAAAATTCAAACACTGCTGAAACAAGTCGTATTAGAACACCGGGAAACACCGGATCATAAATTCTCATTCAGTGTGAGAATTCAGCAAACAAGATCAAACAACCCCAGTAAAACCCAACTTGGTTGGAGACAAATTTACCCCTGTAAAATCATTAAGGTTGTTTATCCTTGATGTGTGGCTGCATTTACTTCCCAAAACATGATAGAAGGTGAGAGACGAGGGAAGTTTCGTGTCATTTTGATATTGCCCATTATTTACTTTCAGCTAAAACATTGTAAAAAATGACTCTTTTTTTGTTTTTTCAAGGAAAATGTGTAGCAAAAAAAGTAAACCTGCACATTGACCTTGAGAAGAATAACTATGGATCATCATCATAAGGTACATTTGGTGCTGAAGACGGCCATTCAAGAACTAATTTTCCACCGACTTCAAATTTAGCAAGCACAGATACATCCGCAGAATTTCGACATGATACATTTCCACTCAAGTCCAGGAACTCTACTTTCCCTGAGCAATGTAAAGGAAAAGCTTAGAGTTCCCAATGCTGTAAAGGGAGTAATTCGACTAGATGACACTATTTGGGAATTTTGACAGACACTGGCAATAATGTCACATAGATGAAAAAAAGACATTTGGAACATATTTACCATTTGCAACTTCAAGGCCAGACCCTATGATTGCCAAGGATTCAGCAGGCATGAAGTTATATCCAGCATTAATGGCTAGAAGTTCCGGGGCATGTGAGAAAAGCTTTGACATAAAGTTTGCAGTTTCAATGCCACCGCGATTCTTGCTGCACAAGGTTTCTAGAAGCTTTAGGTTTTAGAGAAATATTCAACGCAAAAAAAAGAAAGAAAATTTAGGGAAAATTTTGCAGTTTTGCACAGTTGCACCAATTCGATTGACCTTATGTCTATGCATCTGAGCTTTGAGACTCCCACTATCTGTTCTCGTGCTTTTGAGAAGCCAGAAGATCCAAGCCCAATATCATCAATGTCAAGGGCTAGAATGCCCTTGCAGAGAAATTTTCCTATTGCTGCTCCTATCTCACTGCAAATAGAAATGTATCATTTTGCTTAACAGAAACAAATATAAAATATACAGCACCATATTGTTATTGTAGTTGTGTAATGTGTAAACTACCCAAACCTGCCAAGAGTATTGCCACCAATTGAAAGAGAGGTAGGCAAGTTTTGCAAGCAAGAGAGACATTCTAAAAGATGGTTCACCCCATTGAAAGTAAGCTCACAATTTTCCAATCTCAACTCAATCATCTTACATGTTCCTTCAATATAAGTAACCAAACTCCTGAAAAAAAAGTCTTTTTATGATCTAGCGCATGCACATTTTTTTATTATATAAAACAATCAAATAACCTGACTCCTTCATCCTCAATGGGATTGTCACTTAAATCAAGACTATCCAAATTAGGCATGTAGATATGCACGTATCTGAGACAATCCACATCATCTTTACGTAGACCATTGTTCCTGAAAATGAAATGTGTGTATATCTCAAAATGGAATAACAGGTCAATCAAATGGAATGACAAGATATGTATATTCCCAAATTCTGCGGTTCCCCATTAGTAAGTAACAAACAACTAGCGTCAAAAGGTACAAATATTATATTAGTACCTGCAAAGACAATAAAAAATTAGAAATTGAATCACATTCTTTAGTTGGTGTGTGGTTATGTTCTATTTGTCGACCACTTTTTCAGGTTCACCTAAAAGATGTGTGATGGTGAAGAGGAAAAATACAAATTACTCCATATATATTTAAGATATACCTTAAATTCAGTACACGTAATGACTTCAACGAATTGGACATTCCAAGAGGCAAGTGCATGTTACTTGTGGACTGCCATTTAAAGTGAGAGAGCCAACCACTAATCTACAATATAAAAAAGACAGCTATTAGTATATTAGTGGTTATATAACATAACCATACAAATGTCAAAACTCACATTGTTTTCTGAAAGATCTAGGATGGATATGCTAGACAACGCACCAAGGAGTGTGTTGAAGATCATTCTCGCACAATTTTGATCAAGTTTGCTATCAGACAAACTCAACGAACACAAGGACCTGTAGAAACAAGATGCATGCTTGGAAGTTTTATATTACTGATACAATTTAGTAAGGGTAGTTTCAATAAATAGTGATTAGTTATTACAATTGCATAGGAGTTAGATGATGTCTTTACACTGGATTGTGGATACAATGATAGCGATGCACTCGTTTTAGATTATAGAACGAAATACTAGCTACAATCTAAAACCAGCAATCAATTCTACAATATTGTTTTACAGTTTAGGACTTTAGGGTCTCAACAAAACCGAACACTAGAGAGTTGGAAGTCTCGATAAAATTCCCAAAGTTCTTCTTCATGTGTTCTCCGCGCAAAGGTTCTTTGCCCTTTTTTCATATAGTAGCCAGTTATATTTTTTGAAATAAAGCACACTAATAACAACTTCCATAAATCTAAACATCTCAGGATCTAAATAAAGACTATACATGAAGTTATATCGAGACGGGAATCTATTGTAAACCTTTGTCATGAGACTTTCTTTTAAAATTAATTTATACTTCCTCCGTCCCATAAAGTGTTACCCATTTTGACTAAAGTTGAAATTAAGGGAGGGATAATTTTGTGTTGACTTTCCAAAAATACCCCTGATGTGATGTGTAGATTATTAGGAAAAAAGGTATGATGTGATAGGTAGGGTTTGAAAAAGTAAGGGGTAAAAGTGGTTTTTTAATAGAAATGGGTAAGGGATTGTGAGACACAATTTTTTTGAAACGTGTAAATCTTTTTGGGACGGAGGGAGTAGATAACAGGGTTAAATAACTTTAGAAAATAATTCACTCTAAATTTCAAACCTCCAACCCAAACATACTTGGGCTTAAAGTTAAGATGGTGTTGTTGGAGGAGCAGGATGAGAGAGAGCAAGAGAGACAGAGGAGTGTCGCTTTAGATCTGTCATTCTGTCCTCTCATCTTAAATTCTCCAGTTCTGGATAAGAACTCTCTTTTGTTCTCTAAAATAGGAAAAAATGAAGAAATAAACAATTTGTTTTACAAATCTGAAATTTTGAAATTGGGAGAGATAACATGGATGCTCATAGTATACTTCATTTGATGTACAATGCTCTCACAATTGCTAAGAATCCTAGTTCTTTCATTGCTTACACACCTCACTCATTTTGCAAAAAGGCGAATTGTACATATATACCTTCCGGATGATAAGAAAAGCAGCAGTCCAGTGGGTAGATTAGATCCAACATTTTCCGAAAGAAATCTAGATGCCATGATAGTGAATTGTTGGACATCGTGAGTTTGAAGACCATTGAAGCACAATGAGCTACAAATTGCATTCAGACTTGATGCAGAAAACTTGGAATATATAAAATTGATGGACTTCAGGGTCCCACTATTCTGCTTTAAAAGTTTACACAATCCCTCAACCTGTAAGTCAGCAAGCAACAAATAAATGAAATTAGCTGTATAAAATCTGCTAAAATGCCTTTCCAAAACTTTGCAAATTTCTTCAGCTTCCTTCAAAATTTAAACCATTTTGAGAAAAATATGCTACTTCACAAAATTGTTTTAGAGCTTATGGACACTGTACTATGCTGAATCAGACAATCAATTTAACAATAAGTGAACTACAGGCTCGCTCATGAGGAGGTTCTCCAAGTGCATTTACAAAGGCTCCCCAAGAGCAAGGGGTACATTTTCTTTGCTCTTCTGTTAGATTAGAATTCTTAAATTTTTTTGTTGTTTGTCTCACAAAATATTTTCAGTTTTCCTATGGCTACAATTTTTTCATATTTTTTCATTTTCTTCAACCACATAATTCTTTAATCTCCGTGTTGATTACTGTTGGAAAAATTCAGCAGAACGGATAAATAAATTATGTATTTTTAAAGGAAGATATTTTTTTCTTATATGTTACTGTTAATTGGATCAATTTTGAAATAATTGACGATGGTATTTGACAGCCTCCAACGAGATTATCATGACTCAAAGTTAGATTATTTGGAGTTTTAATTAGTTAAATAAGTTATTACATTATCCGTTCATACGTATTTTTGTATTTGTTCGTAATCATTCCATTTAAACAAGTTTATTCCGATGATTCTTTCTTATTTGATTCCATTGCATAACAATTTCAATTTAAATATTTATCAATCTTAATTGAACTACTTTAATACATCCTCTGTCCGGAAAAGATCTTCTCATACATTATTCACATACACTACTCACAGGGTCAAACTTCACTAACTTTGTTTGCTTATTTTCACTACTCATTTCATAAAATAATATAGTCGAATCAAATAAACTGAATTGAAAATAAAGTTGGTCATAGTCTCGTAACGCATAATGAGATCTTTTTAAGACGGAGGGAGCAATTTTTAAGGCATGTTTGGTAAATTGCATTTGGATTTCAAATCTAGATTTGGCCTAAATCACATGTTTGGGAATTTAAATATATTTTTTTATAGAATTTAGACCTTTAAGTCTACTTTAATAATTTCATGGAATTTAATATTTAAGTCTCAAAATTCAAGGCACTATGTTATGTAATAAAATGTTGAATAGAAAAACGATTTTGCATTTTCGTGAATTTTTACAGAGCGTATATTTTTAACTTTAGGGGCTAAAAATATAAACTTGCACCTGGCCCTCGAAAATGATTGGACAGGCCTGGTGAACTATCCCCTTATCCTCATGCCTCAACACAATCACACATAGTAGCTAAGACATACGAGCGTACAAGTACAAGAAGACAACTTACATCCTCTTCATTTTGAGATTTTATCCACCTTAGTTCCAACTTCTGCAGTTTAGCATTTCTTAACAAATACTGCAGCAAAGAACAATGAGAGCTCATAAGAACTTCACAGCAATGCAAGGCTCAGCTTCCTTTAATTGAACCCCAAACAATTAATCAGACCAAAAAATGTAACTTACACAGGTTTCTGCAACACAAAGCACACTGGGTAGCCTCAGATAACTGCAACAAGAATATGTTTAACTTAAACTCATTCTAAGGCATAAGGATATACAACAACAGCAGCCCACTATAATCCCAACTCCGTAAACAGAGGTTTTTGTTTTACCCTTGATGCAAATTTACTACAAAATCTTCATAGAAAGTAAACAGCAATGGAAGTTTAATTTGCAATTTTGATTTAGTCCAATATTTACCGAAAGCCAAAACAATGAAACATTGTCAATAATGACTCTTTAAGCTCCGTGGTTAATGGACGATACAACATATGTGATATACTGATATGTCCTTGTCAACAAAAGACGTAAAGATCAAATTTACTATTTAACAGATTTTGTAACTTACTCTTTAAACTCAAATACTTCAATATGTCAAGAGAGGAGGGTGCAGGGTGCTCAACTAAGTTTTTGAAACAGATAATAATTACGTAGTACTACACAAGTGTTCTGTGCTCAAGGATTCCCAACAAAACTAACATGTTACCAGGCATATAATCCAAATTGTTGGCAGTGATATGTGAACATCGAGGGGTCATGAGATGAGGCAGGAAAGTGTTCCCTATAACCAATATGCTTCAGTATAGACTCTGCAGAAAAAAACGTATCCACAAAAATGATTATTCTCTGGTCTGTAGATATATCCTCTGAATGTGCTCGATCATCTGACATCTGCGCCTAATTCTTGCAAAGCATGAGGTACTCGCACTTTACTATGAAGTCCAACCATTTCAAATTAAAGGAGGCACATAATAAACTGTGCTCAGAATTCCCAAATTTACATTTAACCACCACCAGCCCCCTATGCCCACCCATCGTCCCTCACCACCCGCCCATGAACCATGTCCACCCTCCCCCGCCCATCCACCTGTGTCGCCCCCTATGCTACTAAAATATTACTCTCTCTGTCCGCCACTTTCTTTAAGGGCAACTTGGTAAACTTCAACCAATTTTCAACTCTCCTTAAAAATCATGAAAAGTCAACTAGAGAAGATCTTTACCGGACGAAGGGAGTATTAAATTGTCTCAAAACATCTTTTTCAGTATTAATTTTCAAATATTAACAATAGAAGCTAAATTTTTAAGAAAATATTTTCCTTCCTACAAAACGAAAAATATGATTGGAAAAATAATTTTCCTTGAAGTCATTTTCCATTAAAAAAAATATTCTTCTAGGAAAATATTTTTCCCCAACCAAGCACACCCATTAGTGTCTAATTATCCGTCAACAGACTACAGAGAGTAGCAAGAAAGAAACTTTTTCATACCAGGAACTTTAACTTCACCAATATGACCTTCAAAAGAAGGTAATAAAGCTATCTCTGCAGCTGCATCCAGACAACTGTACTTCAGATTAACATAGTGAAGCTATTTTATTACTGATGAAGCAAAACAAAGTCAGTTGCCTCCATAAATCTAAAAATACTAATCAACCGCAACTCATACGTTTGTAGATGTGTCTCCCAGTAAATCTGCTGCCAGTCATGAGTGAATTCATGCTTTGGTTCCTTTCTTTTGATCAAGTTATGTAATGACCATATTTGCCCATGCCTATATTTGTTGTCACAATCAGGCCACCGTGCTTTATATAGTGTCTCCCAAACTTTCTGAAAACTCACATGTCTGCATACAAATATTTTTTAAAATTGTGAAATTTCACCATAATTGCTAGACCCAACTTAATAAAGAGCAACGAGTCCTATATATTCTTAATCTATGAACAATAAAATTGAAAAAAAACTATGATTTATCATGTGTTAAATCTACTCTATTATATTTCATTTTCTCTAACTAATATGATAGTCGATAAAGACTAGCAAACCTTCTCCTTTTTCTTGGAATATCGTTATCGTAGTTATTAGGAACAGATCCATGATCGTCCCCAAAGTCAAATGGCCTGCAGCAAAAATATTATGGAGTATCCATTATGTTTCATCACCCAATGCCCTAAGGAGGATATGCAAACATCATTCAAAGATAAACTGACAAATAATATGTCTCAGACAAATTCACAAGAGCCAAGTTTCATAACACTTGGATGGTAAAGAAGAAAACCAATATTTTTAAATTGTTAGTCTCTTTTACTTTTAGTAAGGTAATCTTGAGGTCAGGACCTAGCACAAGGCCATCGTTGTCGAAGTATTGAAATACGGAAAAACATTTACATGAAGTAAATGGATGAAGTGAGAATGGACGAATGGTAGTTTTGCAATTAAACATATAGTTTTAGCATACCAAGAATGGAATTTACTAGCGTAGCAATGTAAAAAATGATGATGAATTGGAAAATTACCAGCAAAGAAGTGGTGCAATGAGAAGATAAGAAGAAAAGAAATTGAACATTTTGAATGTGAATATGCAGATGTTTCATGAAATGAGAGGTAAAAACAGTGGCATATTTCCCGCAGTCTAGATTTGGTTGAACACTTGTCTCAACACCTTAAGTTTGAAGAGTTAGGTTCAATTACAAACAAAAAGAACATGTAATTGGCTTGTCTTCCATTGTAGGGAACACCTTTTAAAGTTACTTCGGGTAATTCTCCATCATTTGTTAACCAGACAGATGGATTAAAATATACTCCCTCCATTCCTATTTAACTGTCCGGTTTGCTTTTCGAAGTTAAAGTTTGACCGACAATATCTCTTAAAACATATTAGCAAAAATATTAAAAATACTATTTTGCGATACCAATAATTTGGTATAATTTTTTATATTTTAATTCATTGTATATTTATATACTCAGTCAAACATTTGACACGCAAAGCGAAACAGACCGTTAAATAGAAATGGAGGAAGTACTCCTTAACACATACATTTGTTCTTGCAGTCTTTGCAAAGCCAGCGGAGGTAACAGAGGCAGCAAGGGCTGAAACAACTCAGACGGAAGTTGATAAACGCCGGCGATGAGATCAAAATCGCCACCTAGTGGAAACAGCCATAATCAACCGAAGATAATCAACCTTTTTCACAGACCCTACGAGCAGAGGGAGAGAGGAGATTGAAACGTACCGCAAAGGACGTCTTTGATAACACCGGAGCAGAGATTGAATAACGAGGGGACTTCAGTCGGAGATGAACATTCCTTTCTCGCCATAGAAGTTCTAAAAGCAGATTACGCCGACAACAACAGTGGAATCCCTAGTCGGATTGATATATAGGAACAGACTTAACCCTTAAAGCCGATTAACAGCAGCCGATTACAACAAGAAACTCTGAACAGTTTTTGGTGCAATGGTGTTCCACAAAGCAGAACGAGCTCTGGAACAATTCCTCTTACGGTACACATGTTCCTTCTTTGCTCCATTAAAATGTGGTTCCTACTAGCTTGTATATATTCTAAAGTATTGAGATTCTTTAAATATAATTTAGTTTTCTAATAGTTACAAAATATGTTTTACATGGAATACATATTTGTATGTTAATCTAAAAATAAAAAAATTATACAAAATTATTTGTCATTGAATTAAGTACTAATAAAATTGGTTTGAATTAATAATATTTTATAATAAAAAGTGGATTAGTTACATGCATAATGATACATCATTAGAGAATGTATATGCAGTGGATGGCGGATCCAGGAATTGAAGAAACTGGGGGTGAGACTTCTGCGGGTTTGGGTAGCACCCCCAATTTTTTCCAAAAAAATAATGTGCAAAAAAAATACAAGTATTATACTACTCCCTCCGTCCCTAAATAGATTACAATTTTTTCTCTCCTCTCAATAACTTTTACTGTATTTGTTTACGCGATTTCACTAAGTATTTGATAAAATAAAATATTCTTGTCATCTCTTGTTTTGCAGAACTTTTGACGTAGTTTTTTAATATGTAATTTTTATACCTTATTGATATACCAAATTGTAAATAAAATAATTTCAAAAAGTAGAAAATTTTACTCCGTAACCCGCAATTTGTAATCAAATTGGGAACGGAGGGAGTATTATTAATGATAAAAATAGAAATCATATTAAAATTTATACATTAAAAAGTTGCAAAAAACCATGGAGTACACTACTCAGTAGTTTTTACTTTTTAACACAATTGATTCTTAAAATTTGATAAATTTAAAACTTGGATCTAAAAGTCCTAATCAAACTTTCAAAAAGAGAAGAAAAGCCTCTTACTCAACTAGTTAACTCTCAATTTGTGGTCCGTGGACTATGGATTGCGATTCTGGACTGAAATTACTCCGTATAAGGTTTCTAGTTTTCTGGTGGGGGCAAGTATATCTTTTATTGGAGGCAATATTAAATTTTTAAAAAATTAGGGGTAATAATTAAAAAAAATTCAAAGTTGACTGGGGGCATGTGCCCCCACTGCCAAAACACTACATCCGCCTCTGTGTATAAGTGTCGTCATAATGTCACTTGTTAGTTGTCACCTTAAATTAAACCAACTTTATTTTATTCACTTTGTTGAAAAATATATGTAGCAATAAAAAAATGTAGTAAGATAAAATATTTGAAAAAAAGTATTTTTTTTTTAATGAATATGCACAAGTCATTAAATTTATACAAACATTTTTTTAGAAGTACTCCGTAATAAACTAAAATAAACTGTAGATAGTATAAAAATAATTGTGTGTGTGTCTATATATATATTCAAAATAAAGAGTATATTTTACAATGGTGAAATATATATTTTTAGAATTATTAAAAAATGAAAAAATTTATACAAATGTATTAAAAGAAATTTAAAATGGGTGAAATGCATATATCCACTTCATAAATGGGTGCACATGTGGATGCATATATATATATATATATATATATATATATATATATATATATATATATATATATATATATATATATATGATAGGATATATAGGATAGGATAGGATAGGATGTTCGGGATTGTATAATTTTAATTACCTAAAATATATCTATAAATTTGATTAAAAATATAAAATAAAAATTGAAGAAATAAGTGAAATATGCATTAAAGTTGTTATCATATATATATATATATATATATATATATATATATATATATAAATAATATTTGAGACTCCTCTTCACATGAATCTGATATTTGGCATGTCCATTTCGCATTTTTTTAACATGTCAGCGCCATGTCATTATTGAGTATTATTTTAATAAGTGAAAAATGGAGTAGACAAAAAATCAGATCATATGGCTTCAAATCCTTCAATCTGGCTTCAACCGCACAATCAGATCGCAGGCTCCAAAAAAGAAGGAAACATGAGACCGTATGCCAAAAAAAGGAAAGAAAGATGAGAATCGCTGGCCTTCCATGAGAATCACAAGCCTTCCATGAGAATCGCTGGATGAATTCGCCAAAATCGCGTAAAATCACCGAGATTGCTAGATGGACGAATGCTTAAACGCCGACTGAAATCACCAAAATTGGTGTAGGACTAGCAGTTTCCTTTGATGAAAATAGCTTGATGGAATCACGATAAAGGCAATAGAGATAGAGAAATCGCTGAAATCGTTCAAGCAATTCCATTTTGCCGATGATGATTACCAATCGGTCTCATTAATTTGGCAAGTCCAGAGATTTGGTAAGTCTTTAATTGTCCTCTTTTCCCAAAAAAAAAGAGCAAAGAGGATTCTGATTTTGCTACCAAGTTTAGGAGATTCCATAGTTGTGAAGAATAAGAGTTGGGAACCTATGAATCAAATTAGAGTTCATTCCTTGCAAGTGTGTCCTTCTTTATTTGTGCCCGAAAAGTAGTGACAAATAGTGATCCGTTTGCTAAATTAACATGTCTTCCAAACCCATTCACCCATTATCAAAGATCACTCTGACGAGCGTTGGAGGATTTGCGTTCGTGTGATACGATTATATGCATTGCCTGCCTTCAATGATAACAAGGCAATAAACTCAATAGAGATGGTATTCATCGATGAACATATGCTAAATTTTTATACTACTATAGGCTATGTTATAAGTTTTTAAATGTCATATGAATTTATTTTGTTTCTTTAGATTTTAGGAATTAAGTTTATGGGTGTGTAGTGCGAAGAGTTCTCCTAAAGCATGTCTTTGTTTTAGAAATCATTCAACCAAGATATATGCTGCAATCTTATGGAAACAGTCAATAGTTGATGTTACTTCCATTCAGAAAAGTTGTTATATTGGCAATTACATGACTAATAGTTTATTCACTTTTGCTTTTGAAGAATGTGTTTTCATCTCATTCGTTCATATGACATTACACAGAATGGACATAAAATGTCAAACAAACAAAGTTGTTTACCATATGTTAACTTTTAATACAACTTTAGGCTCTATCCAGTGAATAAAATGTTGGAAATTATAAGTAAATTGGACATTTTTCGGACATTAATTCAGTTGGGTCCACAAAATTATTTTTCGAAATAATTATGGACGTTTAATCTTAGAAGTAAGACGAACGTCTTGACATATGACACACCATAAACGTGTTAGACAAAAGTGCAACTCTAGAGGGGGGGTGAATAGAGTTGTTTTCAGGAATGTACGTTTTTCGTAAAAATTACCGCAGGAAAAAGTAAGGAGAGTAAGGGAAAGAAGAACACCGGGATTTATACTGGTTCACCACCTCGTGGCTAGTCCAGTCCTCCGAGAGACTCTCTCGAAAGTCCTACTAATCTTCAAGCTTAAACGGGTGCTTGAAAAACCGGTACAACTTGAGAACTTGAATCACACAAGCCTCACTTTCTTACAACAACAAGACTTGAGTCACACAAGTCTTAAGAACAACACTCAAATGAGATTGAGTTTACAACACAAGAATGAAAGCTCACACAATTGAGCAAAGTAGTGTTGAAAGATTTAAGCTCTATGGATGACAACTTCTATAGCACTCAAAGAAAAAATATTTCTAACTCTCAAAAATAATATTTTGATGAGGAAGATGAAGCAAAG